AATTGCTCGTGAATGACACCGGGCGATCGCCACATTGGATCAACGCTGCATGAACAACAATGGGCTTCCCTTCCTTGGTATGGGCAGGAACAGTCACCAAATCATCTTCACGGAAGCCACGCAAATTCTGGTCAACTACCAAAATGGCCAATGCATCGGCAGAAAGGCTTTTGTTACCAATGAAAGGTGCAGCTTGCTCAACGTTCATGATAGCAAGTCCACGTCCATCCCGATCAAAGTCGGTGACCTCCAACTGTGGGATAGTCTGGTCCGCATCACGAAACAAGCCGACATCAATGACAATCTCCTGCAACTGGCGAAAATCGCTCTCTGACCGGAGAGGCTTCTGCACACGGGTTTTGGACGAGGAAGGTGGCTTTTGGGTGCCCCCTTTTTGTTCCTTCACCCAAGCTTTCAACTCAGCGTGTTGGACCAAGCGAAAGGCCGCTTCGTTTGCGGCTTTCTTGAGCGCTTCCCACAGAGCACCTTCATCATCGCTGACCTTGAACCTCGAAAGCGGGCATTTGGCAGCGAAATCGGAAACTCTGGTGTCGACAACATCCTTGGGCACACCCTTACTGATGAGAAGGGCTTTGATCTTGTCTGGAACATCTGGCTTGCCTCCTCCCTTGATGGGAAACAGTCGAAAGGACAAGACCTCCTGACTTCCCAGGTCACCACACAATACATTGGGCGAAAGCACATGGGATCCTGATAGCACAAGCACAGGCTCGGCGATCTTTGTGTGACTGAACACATGGTTGGTAAGTTGCACCAACGGCATGACCTCAGGCACCTTGACGACCACTGGCTTAGCCTGAAAGGGAGTACGCATCCAAATTGAAGTACACTCATCCCCAACGCTGCCATTGAAGGGTTGCAGTGTTGCCCACATCAAATGGCAGGTGGAAACGGCGTCTTTCACATTGGGCCTCAAATCACGAATACTGACAAGGCAAACTCCTTCTGCAAGCAAATCGGCTACTGAGAGCCCTCCATCATTCCAACTGTCCTCAAGCCCAATTTCGTGGGTTGTCGGAGAGATGCCAGGCCACAAAGTCTGCAAGACCTCCCACAAGGGAGTAGAAGGTCCCACACAATCAGTCAGCACTCTTTTGGACCGAGGATCTTTCCAAGCGCGACGAACATAGTCCTTCTCTTGGAATTGCTTCAACTGCTGTGACAACTGGATCGTCTGTCCCACCCCTACACAAGCAGGAATGCACATGCGAAAACCAATGTGGAAGGTGGACGAGTCAAACTCCATCACATAGTCCTCATCCCTGGTCGGAAGACTTTTGTGAGTCAGCTCAATGCAATCCAGAGTGCAGTGCCACTGTTGTGAGATCGCGGATCTGCAAGAAAGAATGGTCCACGTAACATCGATCGAGAATGTAATCACTTCCCATGGTGCGTCAGGCACGCATGTGATGTTGAACGTCTCTGGCACGAATACCACATACTGAGGTGGCAAAGCTTCGACAATATCATGCCAACCAATGTCGCCATGGACAGTCGTGAACTGGGCGAAATGACTCTCACGTGCATGAGGAAGGGCCTTCATCACAAACTGATGAAGGCCGCCAACGAACTCACCTGGTGATTCAATGGCCCACATCAAGGAACAATGCACAAGGATCAAACACCCTCCACGTGCGAATGTGGCAGGGGCAATCTGCACTCCGAGCTGTTCAACGGCAGAGCGAAAGGACGACATCCCACTAGGAGCAGCTAATGGAATCAGATCTTCATCATCACAATCTGGGCCGACCTTGAATGCACCACCTTTCAACGGGGCAATCTTGAAGGAGATCGTGTCGGCAAGTCCAACATCATGTGCTTTGATCAACGGATCGAACAATGTACTCCCACAATGCACTGTCATGCTCGTGTTCATCTGCGATCCAGCGATGAAAGACGCCCCAATTTCGCCAAGCTCGATGTGAGCTGGCACCATCAGCAGGCAAGCTTGGATATTCCATGGAGAGCGAATCCACCTCTGAGTGGTGGGCAAATCCGGGAAAGCCTGCAAAAACAATTCCGAGCCGGCCTCGTGTTTGGTCATGACGATCTTCACAGCAGTTCGACGATACGGTGCCAAAGTGTCCCAGGCAACAAAGAAGCAGTCGTTACCACCATCTAACAACATCTCAATGGTGTCTTTCGCAACTTCTTCACCCTTTGCCCTTCCACACGTCCAGGCATGTGTCTGGCACATATCGGGAAAGAGCTGTGGGATGACACTGGCGCACTCTTCGGTCAAACGAACGTTCACTGTGCAAATCAACTTGTGATTAGGATGTCTTGCGAAAATGCGAACATGGCCATTATCAACGGTGCGCAACCCAAGGTCACGATCACCATGGCGTGCCAATGGCTGGACTTGCATGGGCGTTTGCATGAGAAACCGCAACTCGAACTTGTCACCCTCACAGGCTTGAAGGAAGGACCCCCCGGGAGGAAAGGAGTTCTTCACTTGAATCAACACGGATTCATCGGGCACTCCAATTGAACCTGCGAGAAAAGAAATCAAAGTTTGGACCTTCCAAGTGACATCAACTTTCACCTGCCAAATTCGCTCAGGTCGACTGCAGAAAACGTTGACGGTCACAACCTTGGGCCAAAAAACAATCTCAGAGACAGGAACTGCCTCAATGCGGTCCTCCCAAACTACTTCAACTCCACGTCGCTGGAATTTCACAAAATCCTCTTTGGATGACAACGGCAAGGCCGTCTGCACAAACACCCCCACGGTGTCGGATGGTGAACCATGAACGCAAATGCACCAGGCCTTGTTGCAGTGTTTCAAGACCACGATGCCTCCTTTGCACTCATCAATGGGGATGCGCAAATTCGACCAAATGGAATAAGGACAGAGAAAATCAGCGGCATCATCCAAGCCACGCATCTCACTTGCCTCCTCGACGCACGAAAAGGGCACGGTAGGCGAAATCTCGATGGACTGAGCACTCCGTAATCGCTTCGGAGAGGGCGACTGGACATCCTCCTCAATCTCGATCAACCAACGAACCTCATGATCCTGCTCAACTTTCAACTGAGTAAGCTTCATGGCATGACCGACCACAAGGTCATACAACTGACTGAGTGCCGGGACACTAGCGAAAGGCCAAACCTCTTCAACAATGTGTGCCGTCTGGGCGACGCACAACATCGAATGACCAACCGCAATAGCGTTCCCAACAATACGAAAAGCATCATCGTTGGACAATGGGAGAACAGCCACTTTGGAGTGTCCAAGGGCTGCGAGTACCTCCCAAGGGGAAAAGTATCTGGTCACGCTCAGGTCTTGGACCAAGTGAGTCTTCAAACCACGCTCCCGCAGCAAGGTCTCAGGAAGCAAATGCTGACGGGTATACTGAGCCATGACCCCAACCATCGGTTGCTGGAAAGATCTCACACGAGTGCGAAATGCTTCTGCCTCAGACAGACTACTCTTCCGCAAAGTCAGCGTAGGCAAAAATTCAACCTTGGATAGGATCTGCATGGCGGCCTGATCAGGAATCAACTGCTCGAGTTCAATGGCAGTGATATGTTTATGCACTGCATTCGATTCGGCTAACGTAGGTCCGGGGTACATTCGCGAGAGTCCACTTTCGTTCCAGTGAATCTTCCGGGCACTTTCACAAACCTGAGGAGCGACCTTCAAATGAGCACCAACGAAAACACCCAGCCAACGTTCACGGAGAACTGGGTTGACTTTCTTGCAATCATAAACTCCTTCACATTGAAGCTTCAATCCAGCGGAATCGGCAGACCGGACCAACACATCAAAGTCAGGATGGCTGCGCAACCCTGGCACATTTTCAGCTCCAAGGAAGGAAACTGAGAGCCGTCCGGCATATTGCATCATCTCTTGGAATATCATGCCATCTTCACATGAAAGTCCCTTTCGGTTGGCCGCTGAGGACCACGGCTGACATGGAGGACTGGCAAAACATCCAATGGCGTTCCGAATGCCTAGGGCAACCCAAATCTTTTCGTCGCCAACACTACCGAAAACGATGACCGGGCCATCGATCAGGAAATGCAAGGCTTTAGAGAGGAACTCGTCAGGATGCATCACAGGAAAGTTCAACTTCCGGTGCAGCGAACGAATGACAACAGGATCGTTGTCAATAAGCACTGCCGGCTGAATCCCCAAAATTGAGAGGGCTTCGGACCATCCCCCAATGCCCGCAAAAGCCTCAAAAAGGCAAGGGGCTTCCCTTTTCACAGAGGGAACCAAGTACAAGCAGGTCATCCCACCATCATCACCATTCAGGAAGTGAAAGTGAGGTTTAGAACCACACCAACTAACCCGAAAGCGTTCCAACCTAAACTCCAAGCCACAGGAAACATGCCTTTCCCACTCCACGGGCACGTGAATCGTGGCTTCCACACGATCTGGGAACAAGGCCACGTCGCAGACATTCGAAGAACATCTCGTGAACCTCCCTCTCGCTAAACTTCCAGTCAACCACATGGCGAACGCGATCGGTCGAAACGGCCCCACCAGCTGGAAGGTGCGTTCGAACAACAAGGGGCTCCCAACCAATGGGTTTGGGTCCATTATATATATTCTTCTTCCAGGGGGCGAACTGGGATGTCTCCGTCATAATGGAACAGGTGCACTGTGGAAGACAGATCTCAGGACTCTCGACTCTAAAAGCCCAGCACCCCAAAGAGGCTGCACTCTCCCCGCTGTGCGCGAAGAGGCTTCTTTTTGCAGCGCTTGTCATGAGTTGTTTGTAGATCAGGATGCGGAACCTTCCAAGCGCTCAGGGTTTTTGGTTTGAGAGTATAACGTACATATACATATATATAGTGATTTGGAGTCATGTTTCGATCATGATGGGACTATAGCAGATTCCAGGTGGCCATGTTGTTTGCCAGGTTTGTTGGGGATGCAAACTTCCCGTCCGAAGACGAAGTCTTGCCTGGCGTTTGCATGGGTTCTTCCCATGTCGCTGACATGCGATTTGCACCGGAAGACGTTCGAGGCCTTGCGTTTAGATGAGCTCGTCAAAAAGTACAAGAAGGACTGCAGCTGGAAATAGAGAGGGCAGAGACCGTGACCTACAGTAGACTCTGGATGAATGTTGTGGTAGATCGCATGCCCGGCGATGTGGCAGGTAGATGTGAATTAGTGAGATGCCATCGCTCGAAGGGGACTCGGACATGTTGTTCTTTCTTGAGTCTTGAACGTCAAAACTCTTCTGAAGCGTCTTAAAATAAGAAGGACTTTGGCTCAGCTCTAGTCACGCCCTCACATTTGGTCTTTGCCTTTGCGATTTGCCAACGATTTGAGGAGCTGGACAAGTGGAAGGGCAAGGCAGAGGTTGCTTTCTCAGTTTCGGTCGCCCTGTTGTGGTTTAACGGTCCACACACGGTCCCCTCATCACCTATTAGCTGCAGGGGTGGGGGAACCACGGCCCTTAGCCTGTCCGCCGGTCCGTGTGGCACCTGGGGCTTGAACCTGGGTCCGATGCATAGGCATGCCTCATAGCCACTATAGACTTTCTCAGTTTTTCGGTCATCTGTGCGCTTTCGGAGGGAACCAACCCAATGATCCCAATCGATTCACGACTTGTACAGTAACTCCATGTAACTCCTGAAGATTGTGTTTGGAAGTCAGGTCGGCCACGCGGGCCGCTACACTCCAAAGGGGCCACCTGTGCGGATTTGTAGGAGAAGATTATATTCCGCAGCGGAGCAGTCAGTCAACAACCGGCGACCTAATGAAAGCTTTTGGTCAATGAGCTTATCATCCAACCTGTAACAACCTATGGTTTGGCATATTTGGATCATTTGGGGTTTTCCGCTTGTCATGTGTCACGTATAAGTCAATGACCTGCCCTTACTGTATCTTGATACAATAAAAGACTCCAGCTAATGCTTAAAACTTGAGGTTTGCAGCACCAAGTCTGCCCCTGGGTATTTTGCACACATACAAGTACCAATGAATGGACGACCGCGTTTGGTGCGATTGCTTGGTGAATGAGGCAGCAGATGAAGCAGTAAAAGCCATTAATGAACATAAGAACTTCCCATTGTATTACAGTGGACTTAGCAAATTGCCTGTCACCAAAAAGCTAACACCCAGGAATTGCATGGATAACATGTACAAACATCTCGGTGACATAAATGCCCTGCGTTCCAAGTTGAAAAAGAGTCCCGACAAGCCGAAGAAGACGGGATCTATATCCGACTCGTTTCAACAGCTTGGCGATTATTTGCAGAATGGGAGATGAAGAAAAAACATGTTGGACTTTCAACCCCCACCATCCTAGAATAGTAGAACTCGGTTGCTTATGGGGACGCAAGGTGGCAGTCCAAGTCTTTTTGTTGCAGGACTCACCAGAAGTACCCGCACACACACTCACACACACTCTGACATTGGTTTGCTGTTAACTCAATTCCCACGTCGAGAAGGAAGGTGAGAGAAAGGTAAGGCGAAAGGTCCAAAGATTTGAAGATGCTTTAACAAAAGTTGTTATGCGCATCTGCAAGGACTCAGCGGCATCGCACGAACGGTGGAAACCTGTTTATGGGGAAGGTAGCATGGGAACAACCATGAAAACAAAGAACAGCGGCGAGGGGAACCAGTGGAGTCAGTGTGTTCAGCGCAGGTACGTCCAGAAGGCGTCCCTTCCGGATATCACCGCGGTTCAAGGAGTGTCTTCGTTGAGTGGTGACTCCAAGACCGCGCACCACTCCCCTGCTTGCATGCTGGAACCATCGAGAAACGCGGTACCCTTTGGAACAGGGGTTGACACACACACGGTGCCGCTTTGCGGCGCTCGTGCGAACGACCTGATTAGGCACCTAAAAAGCCTTAGAAACAAAAGAAAGAAGCACAGAAAGAGCAGCGCTAAGAGGGCAAGAGAGAAAGATAGGTGTAGAAAAAAGGTGAATACTTAGCCCTTGACTGGGGCAGGGAAACGAGCCTCAAGAACAACCTCAAAAGCCTGAGAGAAAGCCCAAGAAACGACCGAAAGCGTAAGAAAGAAAGGGGGGGGCAGGGAGGGGTTGTATGTAGCATGTGTGTGTATGACTACTTAGCACTCTAGAATTACTGACTACTTGGCCGAGGCGAATTAAATGCAATAGTTAGGGAGCGGGACTTTAGTCTTAGACCGCCCGGGTAGAGTAGACTAGAACAGGAACAACAAAGGGAAAGGCACCGACACAAGTGTGTCGAGTACCATTTCCTGTGTTGCCCTAATTAGGTAGGGAGTAGAACACGGCGGGGGGGGGGGGGGGGGGGGAAACATGCCTGACCTGGAATTCCGTTTTTTAGCCCGGCGGCTATGGTTGTTCACCGTGAAAGCCCGGCGGCTCTTTGTTCAGACAATTCAGTAGTGAAACAAAGTCGGTTAAGAAAATCCAAGGTTTGGTGGATACGGTCAAAGCAGTTACACGATTTCCGGTATGAAAGCAGCGCCTCCTTGCGGAGGATCACACCCAGCACCCAAGTGGGACGGCTGAGCGGTTCACACTCTGACATTGGTTTGCTGTTAACTCAATTCCCACGTCGAGAAGGAAGGTGAGAGAAAGGTAAGGCGAAAGGTCCAAAGATTTGAAGATGTTTTAACAAAAAGTTGTTATGCGCATCTGCAGTGACTCAGCGGCATCGCACGAACGGTGGAAACCTGTTTATGGGGAAGGTAGCATGGGAACAACCATGAAAACAAAGAACAGCGGCGAGGGGAACCAGTGGAGTCAGTGTGTTCAGCGCAGGTACGTCCAGAAGGCGTCCCTTCCGGATATCACCGCGGCTCAAGGAGTGTCTTCGTTGAGTGGTGACTCCAAGACCGCGCACCACTCCCCTGCTTGCATGCTGGAACCATCGAGAAACGCGGTACCCTTTGGAACCGGGGTTGACACACACACACACACACGCAGAAGTACCCACCAGGCACAATGATTTTTTCGATAGGAGCAGAATTGCACTGTATACTTGTCGCATCTTGTCGCTATGGGTGAAAGGGAAGACGGATAGATGTCCAATGCCCTTTGATTGCGACTCACCACCGGTTCAGAAACTTCCAAAAGAAAGAAGGGCATTCAAGCGTCAAGCATACAATCTGCTGTGGTTCAATCCCTGGAAACCAAAAAGACTATTTAAAAAAAAACAAATCCTCCATGATTCGACGAGGATGAAAGGCCGTAGCTTCGTACCTTCGGTATATCCAGGCGATTCGATCTGTTTGATGAAATGCTCTCGACTCGAACATCAACTCGTGCCTTTTAATGTGTTGCTCCCAGAGATTGTCACACTGTATACCACACCTTTGCCGCCGGCGATACTATGCGGCGATACGATGCACGGTACGATTGCGAATCGCAGCAATCTGTCGACAGGAAGCTTGGTAAGAAATTAAAACAACATAGTAGGCATCTATAATACACTCAAGAATGTTGCCTTTTCAGTTCGGTTGTTGATGATTCTGTTTTGGTCGCTAAACTTTGAGATTTACCTCAGTTTATAAATGCATGCTGCTTGATGGTCTCACTTTAAAACATCCACAATCATGTCCCCTATAGCCCTACGCACCTCTTGTACCTGGGCAGTGGGTAGCATCGGATTGCGCAGATTAAGCGGTGTTGCGGGTTTGGATGCCCAGCCTACGTTTCGAGGCCCTTGAGGATGACCGACAATTCCTGGAAGGTCAAATCAAGCAGGCCAAGAGGACCGCTGGGCGATGGAGGGCACCATGGTGTGGACCGATGTCGAACTCGGCGGCAGAGCAACACCATGGTGTGACCTTTGGTGTGACCTGGGTATGTAGCCTAATGTCAAGACCTGATTCATAACCCCCCCCCCACATGGTAGGTCAACAAGGTGAAGAAGATATGAGATACCACTCATGAGGTCCACCTCCCTTTATAATGTGTCCTTAGACCAGGACGAGATCGGCTCCGTCTTTTTCTCTTTCAGATCGGCATTCCACGGTCGATTCGGTTCCTTGATCGGCCGCGCTCCCGACGGTCGGTGATGCACATTACCCGGTCACCCGTCCCGGTCGGCCGGGTTTGGCCGTGGGGGTGTTCGGGATCCCATCATGAATCCCCAAGGGCTCCAAGGACCTCAGAGACAAGACTTACTTACCAAGACGTTCAAGGCAGAAACCCAAACAGACTCAGAGAGCTGGAGCCGCTGCCTCAGAATCCGATGGATCCGATGGATATCAATGGATCATTCGGATCACTGCTTTCAATGCTCCCATCACTGCAGAAGCTGTGCATCGCTGCGCCTCACTGAGAGCACTGGCAGGACCAACAAGTCCTTGCGCACTGCCGTGGAGCAGGTTTGGGCTAGCTGATGTGGGCTTGGAAACAAGAGAGTGTTTATTGCCTTTCTCGCCGCCATTGTTGGTTGCTTCCATTGTGCTTGTCGTCGGGCTTGTTCCGCACACGGCGAAGCAGTCGGTGAAATAACGATTAGAGTGCATTCGTTGTGAGGATGCCCTGTGAGCCCAGACGGTGTGAGGATGTGTGATGTGTGTGATGTGTTTCCTAAAAAAAGAGAGCACCAACTTTAACACTCAAGTTTCTTTTGTTGCGTTCATCGACTTCTCAAAGGAAGAAAAACACCTCCAAGGTGCTTTCACCTGCGCACTGAGAATTTCCTGAGGCTCAAAGCTCTGCCTATGCAGCGCTGGTGAATGCGGAAGAGAACCAGTCGCGACGCTCAAACGGGAGATCGGGGGCATGCAAAGGATGCACCTTTCGTGGCGACCTGCATGGGACACTGGGACTTCACTTTTGACATGGAACACGTGGAGGTAGACGGCTAGAATTCTGGAAGAGCTTCCAGCTCTTCAACCCGCTCCCAAAGAAAGATAAGATATAAGCCAGGATTCAGCAACTTACTTCAGAGCCCACTGGCATGTCTTATATGTCTTTACATGTCTTTACATTGGTTTCAGAGTACTTATATATATATATATGTAATTAGATAGATAGATGGCACTGGCACCCCAAGATGTCGTTTGTATGGGGGTCTATGGGGGTCTATATAAACCACCAAACGTTGGGTGCCCTTGTGCCATCTACTCTCAACCAACTCAACCGACTATGAATGCAAACGAAGTGGTTCTTTGGCCTCGGGCTATGAATCGATCTTTCTGACACTGGCAGTGATCTGGACCAAAGCACCGCACCAGGGGCTGGAGGGGGGTGCATCCTGCAAAGAAAACGGAAAATAAGACCGTATCAAGTACAAAGACCCAGTAAAAACAGGTCATTTCCTTGCTTGAACAGTGTTTCTTGTATAACCAACTCCAGTAAAATGAGATGATTGACCTGTAGGGTATTGTTCCTATAGAAGCTTCCCTTTGCCAGATGGTGTATTCAATGCTTGTCTTCTGTCAATGCAAGCATACCTAGAAGATCCTTGAAGCACCTGCGGCAAACATTTCTGCCCTGAGTCCGCCTGGGGAAGAAATGTTTGCCAAAAGGATCTTCTATAGATATAGACCTCCAACAAACACCGGCTGTTTCGGGAACCCAGATGGGAGCCGTGAAATCAGAAACGCTGGTCCAACGCTACGACCAAGAGTTCCATGTCCATGTCGGGGTGGTTCTCAAGACAGACCCAAGAAGTGAGTGGGTGGGAGCTTCCACCGTCATGCTGAAATACAACTCTTCGCATAGTTTCTCCTTTGTATAATGTATATAGTATAGGATATATAGGTTTAATATGGTTTAATGTTTAAGTTTTATTGAACAATGTTTGTCTAATCAATTGTCATGCCTCAGATCAGAAATGCAATATGGAAGAACCTCCAACAGAGTTCACCTGTGACTCTAAATCCACAAAACTTACAAAGCCTTCAGAAGAGATCACAAATCTGATTTGAGTTGGGAGCGCAAAAACGGAACATTCATTGAAGGTCTTTGAGGCACGAGCATGGAACACATGTTCCATTTCTACTGATTTGGGCGTGGGTCCAACCCAGGCTACCTGGGTTGACCAGATAAAAAGGAACAGAATGGAATACTTACTCAGGAGGTCAACCTACCCTAGTTTGGGGATCCAGGTTTTGACCCACAGCCCTTCTGGGCCTTCCCCTGTTCATCAACAACTGCATGGACCTCCTCCTCGGCCCCTCGCACCCTCTGGCGCGAGCCGCGTCCACGCGCGTCGCGTCCGCGTCCAGGCCGGTTTCGGCCCCCGAAGTGACACAGGCAGACGAGGAAGTGCTAGGCGAGTTGCTCGGGCCGAGTTCACGGTAACGGCTGTGTCCGCTGTGACGAGAAGCTGTGACGAATATTCACAACGTGAATAGCACTGTGAATTGGCACTGTTCTTTTTGGGGAGGAAGTCGGGAGCAGAGTGGGTGGGGTGCAGGCAGGGTTGGCCGTTCCAACTTTGGTTGATCATTAGCTCCTGATCTTTTTTCAAGGGTTCGGTGATGTCTTCTAAGGAGGAGCTTGCACTGTAGCTTGAAACAGATTGAAGGATGCTACGTATTTGGTGGAGACCATGCTGCAGATAGCTGTATTGAGTCTCAGTTTTCCAAGAAAACGTGGGAGTTTGGTTTGGTCTATTTATGCTTCAACTCAAAGCTTGGTGAGTGGGCAAAGACGACCTCAATGCCTCCATTTGTGGTGGCGACCCGCTGTCCACGTTGGAGGGACATTGATCAACTAGGACTTGTTTGACCAGTACAGGTTCGTCATATGCTCCGGATGCACCCGTCGTTTGTAGTGCTGGAAGATGTTTCTACTGTATATTGTTTGCAAGGCAGCAGGCACCCACAGGAAGACACAACCTATCACGACTTACAGACACTGACAAAAACCCTTGTGTTTGCGGTTTGCGGGTTGCGCAAGATTGGATCCTTGTTGAGTCCACAAACAGAACAAGATGGACTCATGTGTATAGCAAGATATACCAGACACCATCCATATCCATCCATGAATCCCTTGCACAGAGCGTCCAACCCAGAGGACCACGTCCATCCGCAGGTCCAGCCTATACCGGCCTCTCCCAGGAGCGGAGGGAGGGGGGGAGCAAGCAGCTTCAAGTAAGTGAAGTATATGGATCCCCATTACCAATTCCACTATGAAATGGGAAACCTTAAATTGAGGCCCATACTAATGATTTTTTAGGGGATACGGGATACGTATGGCATTTAGCAGGACCATCAGCCGCTGGGCTTTCCTGTAGAAAGTTCGATCTGAGAAAAAGGCTGGTCTTTGGCCTCTCTCGAGCAATGGAATATTCGATGCTGCCAATCGCGAACTGCATGCAGGTCACAGACCCTAACAAATTCTATGTGCAGGAGACATTGACCCCAACCGCAGCTCAGTGGTTAGCGACCGCTATGCTCCGTGCACCACGAATCTGCATGGAGCCGAACTCCAAAACGTCTCCTGCTGCGACTCGAAAACACCCCAAAACGCTCAGAGCATTGCACCATCATGTCATTTATAGAATAGTCCACAGAGTGAGCTAACACCCCACCTGTAGTTGGAGATTATCCAACTGGGCCTCCAACAGAGGCCAGGGGACCAGGTTATCGAAGCATTTTGCGACAAGTGCGATGGTTCTTGAAACAGAAATGAGTCTTGTTTGTTTCTGGAATTCATTCAAAGATGCAGGTAAGCTAAGGATCACTACTGCTAGGTGGTTGGTGGTTGCAAGTGCCTTTCAATGGTCGGTCATAATCAAGGAACTGATTTTTAAAGGGCGAAGTGGGCCATCAAGATCAGACGCCATGATGGGCCACCAAGATCAGACGCAGCACATGGACCTGTGTGTCCTGGGTTGAATCGAAGGCGCCATGTTGCTGGAATCGATCATTCTTTCATTCTCCATGAGGTGTTACACCGCCTTTGTAATGCCTTTAATAGTTTTGGAATCTCAAGAGTTTCTTGGTCTCCAAACCTGTGCGCGCCCCCAACATGGCACGCAGCCGCACACGAACCTTGTGCCTCCGGGGAGTCTACCTGCCCAGCGGTGCAGGAGTTGGAAGTGAAGTATCAGACCACAGTGAAGCCTCAAGCTCAGTGAGTTTCCATGGAATCCTTTGCAACACATTGGTGTAATTGAGATCGGGTGACCCTCCATGCTAGCAGGTTCCCTCCAATGAAGCGGCTCGTTTTCCTTTGGAACCTGCTCCTGGCGGGTTGTTTGGTCGTTTTGGAACCTGGTCTGGGCTCCGACCGAGGCGATTGAAGCATCAGCTGCAACAAGAGCAGAAACAGGCGACCAAAGCCTGGCTCTCAGATTCTGCACCCGATGGGTGGCGGCGTCGGCTCCGATTCGGCACGGAGCTCCGATTCGGCACGAGCTCCGGTTACGACGACCACGGGACGATAGGGGTCTGGCCACGACACGTGACGACTCCAACTGAAGGGCACGAGGAGTGAGACGATGAATTCTAGCTGGAACAGAAAGATTGGAACGTCCCTTTGCCTTTGGAGCGCGGGTTAGATCATCCATTCTGGTATATTCAAACCAGTATATTCTGAGTAATATATATATATATATATAATCATTTGAAACATGTTCTGCAGATTGCACACCAACTTAGCAAGCAGTCCCATAGAATCTCCCCAGTCGACCAAAGGTGGTTCAACCGCACAGAAGCTGAGGACGCGTCAAACCGTCCTCCAACGCCCTCAAACCGTCCTCCAAACGCCCGTCGCGTCGTACGCCGCGCCGCGTTCTGCGCGCCCCATCCGCCCCAGTTGCGTGCCATCGCAGATCGCCAGTTTACTGAACCTTCGGAGTTGGAGGCGGGTCCCCTTGGCGGCGCATCGCGGCCGATCGGCGCTTGACGCATGGAAGGTTTGGCGAGGTGAATAGCCGGAGTGGTCATGGAATTTGACATTAAATTTGGTTAATCAGATGTCAATAGTTGGATTTACAGGATTTGATTCAGGAGCTTTTAGCCGTGTTTGTGTGGTTGACAACGCCTTGTGAACCCATGGTATTTCACACCCAAGCTCGATGTGCTTCTCCAAGGTGACACAATGTTGGACAGATTTGAATTCATTCGGCAAAGACCAATTGAGCCCTAAAGACCACACCACAGCGATAAGACCCGGTTGTTGGAGTCGAAGATTTAGAACAATGGAATGCAATCAGTGACTTTGTGATGCTAAGTACAGTGCAGTTCGGGTGATCCGATTTTGGCGATGAAGAGATTTTCAGCTGCTTGGGACAAGGACTTTTGCACCATTTGCAGGTATCCGCGCTTTCAGAGAATCGTGAGAAGATGAGATTTGAATGGTGAGGAAGAACTATGTCATGTTATATTGTGATTATATTACCACTTGCAGATGAGCTATCCATGCAAGTGTAGAAGCGGTTTGTTGCAGTGCCCGCTAGAAGTGTAGCACGGATTTCCGTGCAGAGGAAGATGGACCTAAACAGACCTCACGAGGTCATTTTTACGATCAGACCTCACTGAGTCGGTGAAGCAAAAGATGAGGTATTTCCATCGATGATTCTCGTAAGCATGGATAGGTAATATGTTTATTCCAAGCTCTTCTAAAATGGATGCTCAAGGAATCATTTAAATTTGTTCGTGGTCCATCCATCATCCATCATATTCAAGGATGGTTTCGAGTCAAGGGGCCTTCCTGTCAGAAAACGGTTAATAAGTTGTTTGTGTCCAAACCCCGTTCCCTTCGCTATTTGAGTCATTGGCACCAGAGACTGTGAGGCCTTCTTCGTTGACTGTGTGGAGCAGGCGTTGTTTTGCACGGTGCGCTGTTTTCCACCGTGTCGAGTACGGTGACCTGATTGACCTGATTTCATGATGAACTGCTAAGTAGATGGGGAGGAAAGCATGTTTGTTTCGTCTCGCTAAACATACAGAAACACCTCTCCAGGTGTTTGTTTGGAAGTTTGCCATTTGCTTGTAACCAAGCCATTCACGTCATTCGATGGTCCAAGCTCCTATCCCTACTACCCACACCAATTCAACGTTCCAAAAAAATAGTTCCTCAGCACCAGTAGCTTTAATTACTGATTTCAGCCTGCAGGTGAAGGGGGACATTTCTCAGCGTCGGAAGCTGGCGCTGGAGCAGCGTCAGGCCTTGAGGGGCCCAGAGGCGCGGGGCAAGACCCGTTCCAGAGCATCAGAGACCTGCCAAGAGAGGTTAAGGGGACCTTAAAAGACCCTACCCGGGTACCTATGGGATAGTCTATAGGGTCCTTCGACCTCTGTTGTTGGTTGGGGCGGATTGTGTGATGTGGGCTTGCTAGCAGCATGTGTGCAAAAGAGCGAAGAAGTGAACATCTCATCTCGGCCTTGAAAAGTGACCCCCACTCAAGTGCAAATTGCTGTTTGGAAATTGTGTATATATATATATTTATATTTATTGTTATTGTATGTGTATATTATATATATTTTTTAATGTATATATTTATATTGTATGTACCATATATACATATACATATGAACTTCAGGAGGAAGAAAGTTTGGTAACAACTTCACGAACAAGAATATCATTGACATCACTTCCTTTTCCCAATGGAATTCCGGCGGATTAGTTTCCACCCCGAACTAACTTACAATCCTATAAATTCATTTCGGGGTGGAAACTAATCTGCCGGCATTCCACTGTGATCCCCTGTAGGATTCGGGGAAAGGGTTGTGGGTTATGTACTCACAAGCTTGTTACCAACTTGTGTCCTGGCTGTGTACATTACATATATGTAGTATTTTTGTTGTTGATTCGATATTTGTGTATACATGATTATACATGAACAGTTGGAATTGTTTTTATCTTTTGGGGCACCGCTAGTCATCATTTCTTTGTGCTCACCGGCGTAGTGCTCACTGAGCGCAAGTGAAAGAATTGTCAAAGGACAAAAACAGATAGCAGAAGAAAAGAGAAAAGAGTGTAGAAAGGAGACCACTGTCCAGGAACATTAAAGTCTGAACAACTCGCTCCAAAACCCTCTTTGTTTGTCCACAAGTCTCTCTCAGAAAGCGAGGAGATGAAAGAATTTAACCCACGAACACCCGAAAAGCTGAATTCCTAGGACCATCATGGGCGATCCACACCAGCCAGAGGCGTTTGACCTTCATTTTGACCCGGTTGCTGACCGCAAGGCCAAGGGACCTCGGGGCTACCCAGAGACGCTGCCGCCGCAGGTGGCCAAGCTCGTCGGGCTGCCCAGCGTCGATGGGGGCGGTGAGGTCGCACCCAAACAGCCACCAAAACAGCTAGACTCGGTCGCCTCACTCAGTTCTTTGAGTGATTTTGAGTTGTATATCTCTGGGCAATGTTGAAGTTCTTCCGGTCAGGCTTATAACTAATATGTATTTAGACGTCTCTCTTGGCAATGTTTCAGTTCTTTTCAGTCCGTTTCTTGTAAGAAACATCGCGTGGCGTTCAAAGTGAAAGTTATTTCGTCAGTTTAATTGTTGTTTGCATCTCTTGGCAATGTATGCGAGTGGGCCATTGGCCGCCGAAGCCTGGCAACGTCTTTGAGATGGCAAGTGGCGAGGAGGATCCCTAGTATTATGGTGGTTAGTGGTTCTCAAGAGGAATGATTAGGATGATAAATAACCTGGCCCTGGGCGATGACGCTTGTCATCAAAATAGATGGTGAAGGATGAGGAGACATGTTTGAACACACAACACTTTATACAAAACATAATAGAATGGAATATGTTCATATATGTTCACCCTGTCCAAGTCTGTACTTGACAAAGAGTTGTGGTTCAAACTGCTCCTGTTGGGCGGGTCCACGCCCCAGTCTTTTCACTGCTCCATCTCGCTTCAAAGACGCTGAAGCTCCCAAAACCCGGAACGAGGCGCTGGAGCCCACGCTGGACGACTTCACGGTCACCGACCGTAGGAAGGTGGTGGAGCTCTTGCTGAGCAGCGAACAAGTGCTCCAGTGGGGCGCCTCAAGGGCTGCCCTAGAGAGCGCAGCGACCGGTCGTTTTTTGGTTGGGTACCTGTTTGGGAGGTTGAGAGCTGCAAAGTGCATCGCAAGTAGTAACAAGAGGCTACTAGTAGCTCCTGGCATTACTACTAGTAGCCAAGTAGCTACTAACTAGTAGCAAATGGTTTCAATCAAGAGAGTTAAATGAATCCCCAGACACTCCATGGAGCTGGCATATGTGCCTACAGAGCTGGTTTTAGGGGTCAATGTCGACATATACTCCATACATAGAGTGTTTGGGATAGCGAAAGAGAGAGAGAGAGAGACAGAGAGTGTTTGGGTTGGAGAACTGCCTGGTATATATATATATATCAACTGATTATTTGCAGGAGTTCAATAGGGAGACCGCCCACTAAAACACTGCAATATTGGAAGATAGATGGGAACCTATGAGAATGATGGGGGATCCAGGCATTTTGAAACTAGGTTTGCTGGAGAAGTTCTGAGTGGCTTAGGATCAGAATATTTGGTGGTTTGCTTGGTTGTTTACTATAGATGTTTTTGAAGTTGGTTTGCACCAAAAGGAACTGTAGGTTATTTGTATTTTACTATAGTCCAAGAAACGATATGTGTATTGTGATGCTATCCCTAGATCCTCACTGCAATGATTAGCCTGAATCCAGCGCAATGCAATTTCCCTGGAGGTTCTTGTACGACAAGCTTTTCCCTGTCGGGTGGCCCACGACATGTAGAGCGGCTGGATGTGCATGATGTGAGGGACCGCTGTGACCGCTGTTTCGACTGACCCAGTTCGTTTGGTCTTTCAGAGCGAACCAGTACCGCAACAAAACCCGAAAACAGCAACAAAAAAGATTAAGAATAGGTAAGAATGGCATGTGGCGCATGGGCTAGCAAGTAAAAAGTGCAAGCACAATGCACCTACTGCAGAAACTGGTGTTCTTTGAACCTGGTGTATTCACGCATTGTGTTTAAACAGAAACGGGGCACCTCCAAGTAGCAAAAATACCGGAGGAAGAGTCCCGGTGTTGAGGGTCTTCAAAGCCACAATGATAGAGCCCCCATGACCATTATTCCATGCAAACAGAAGGATGTTCCACTTCATATTATTTGTGTGTGAGTTGTTGTTTCGTTGGACTCGGAATTTCTGTGAGTTTGCTGGCTCATTTGTTTGCTTCATGAAAGTGTTTGAAGCTCGACTTTGAGGACTGCAGTTGTTTTTGTGTGTTTTGGTCGTCTACGTCCAAACGCCAAAGGGAAGAAGACCAAGATTGGACACCCCCCCGGCCTGACTGGAAAACCCCTCCCAGCATCGGCTGAGGATTGAGCAGGATGTGACTTCATAGAATGAAGGGCCCCCACAGCCGTCGATGCTTTGACCAAAAGAATGGCGAGATTGATGGGAAAGACCACGCAAGCTATCACTTGCTACAAGATGACTCCTATTTTGGCATTAAAAGTCTAAACTAGACCAAAACAGGCTCCAAGGATCATAGGATGTCTTCTTCTGGTCTTTTGGTTAATCATGAATTGGAAGACTCGTATTCTCTGGGTGCTTCAATTCTCTACAGTTTGTGGAGACCATGAAATCTGTGGTCTGTGGCGTCAAAATCTTGAAAGGTTGACAACACGGCAAGAGCCTCTGGAGGACAACACGAGAGTCTTCCGCACAAAATCCATATATAGACAGACACTTAACCGGAAAGATGATGTTCCACTCTTCGATTATTCGGTGGCCTTCAGGGGTCTTTGTTAGTCTCCAAGAGGGCAAGCTACCCTTATCAGTAGCTGGTAAAAATCTTTATTTATAACTGCTTCAATACGGATATATATATAATATATACCAGGGAATCCAAATGTGCATTTTTTTCGTTCAAACACGTTCGCACACAAAATCCGTGCATCCGGCCTTTTTTGTCAAATGGACAAATTTTCTGGAATTCCTCCGAATATTGGGTTTGATTGGGTTTTATCAATATAATTGTTTGGGTTTTTGTTGATAAAATGTTGATAAATTTTGGGTTTCATATGGGTACGCTTTTGTACGGTATTGCTTTTTTGTCCATACGGCTAAATACGCTAATTTGTTAATTAAAATGTCCATACGATAAATTATGTCCAAATACGGCCTTCGCACAAACAAAAGTGTTCATACGCCTTTCCAGGTATATATATATATTATCACGTTCTGAAAGGAGACAATAGCAAAAAATGTTCGCTTCTCGTGAGATGGGAGAGCCACATTCAACGCACCAGTCCTTCGAACGATATCTCTCCCCTGGGCAGATCGGATCGAATCTCCTTGTTTAAAGCTAGCTAGGCTACATGACAACCACTACGATCTACTGACCACTGCTTGAAACATGCTGCTGCTTAAGCCACCAACCAGTATATAATAGTGTTGTTAAGCACACAGGCAAAGGGGAAGACACCTTTCAATGTTACTCAACTGTCTTCTCCCATCCTCTCCACTAGATGATGAGCTGCTAGTTTCACCAGCTGCTCGTTTCACCTTTTGACCTGGGGGCAAATGGCCTTTCTGGTCATGGAGTGAACAGGGCTTCTCACGGGAAACGTACGACATCAGATTGAGTGAACAACCTAGATCCTAGATCACACCCTTCATACAGTATGACCGACCTTCAACATTCTTGGGAAGATCTAGAAGGAATAAGTACCCTTGTCAAGAGGTTTTCACCCGCAATACCAATGGATAGGGCTTTCGGAGATTGGTCGCATTCGTCCAGTATCATCCGGTCACTCCAGCCGACTTGAGTGCGAAGCATCCAAAAGAAGCGAAGCACTTTCACCAGTGCCGACGTGCCGAGCTGAGCGAAACTGGGTAAACTGGGAGGTGATCTTCACAAAAGAACCACCCAGAGCTACAGTTCCAGTTTTAGATTGAGAGTGGAGGTGTCCCCACCGACCCTGCGGAGCGAGCGAAACTGGCAGAGAGAGATAGTCGTTTGGACTTACACTCCTCACGTTCACCTGGTGTGCGTTGCATCTGATTCCTTTTCCATAGGGTTTGCGATTTTTGCATTACAATTGTTTTTGAGTATACAATATATCTATAGAATATTATAGAATAGCTACTTTCCTCCGTGGTCGCGGTCCTTTGATGTGATATCCTCTTGTATACTGCAGAACAAGTTGTTATATACAAAATGATACAAATATATCATAATATATTATACAAAATCATACACATTGTTGGATACCCTCTTGTTATATATCCAAATATCCCCACTCCCTGGGTTTTGGGATGATGCAGTCGGCAACGAGTGGTGGACGATTCGGAACTCGAGATTTCGCAACCGGAGAGTTGGAGAAATGCACTGGGAAGGAACCACAAGTAGTGGCAGGTGTATATGCCAGAGGGTGAAAGGGGTAGGGATGAAACGTGATGAAGCCTATAATGGACTATATAAATTATATATATAGTACGTATATATATAATATATGCTTGCCAGGTCTCCATTGGGGTCCCTTTTGGCCACAAAAACACGTGTTCAATTCAAGACTTCTTTTGTGCGACGCTTTTGCAAGCTCGGACGCTGAACTTGATGTGGTTACTGACATGGTGGACATTGGCTCCCAGGTTGAAGTTCTAGGTGTTTGTTGCTATTGTTTAATACTAATTGACCGATTCTGAAAGCACATGGTATCACATAATCACATAGTGCTAGCTGCCGCGGTCTCTGAATTGTTTCATGTCCGTTGGTGTGAAAGGAGGACAGGTATCCTCAGCGGCCTCAGCGCAAGGAAAGATACGTTGGAGGGTATGGCGCATACACCAAATTGCCAACCCCTAAAAACAGCACGAGTTTGGACGGTCAGACTCGCAGCCTGGTGATGAGCTTCAGCACCCTCTCTTCAGTCCTCAATTCTGCATGTCTTTCTGGCTTCATGTTGGAAAACTCGCCTACGCGAGGACTGGGAGCTTGAGAAGACACGGGACAGGGGCAAACAACCTAGTGGGACAGACGATAAAAAGACACATCGTCATCGTGTTTAGCATTTGACAACAACGTTGACCTACCCACCAGTCAAAGATGTGTATGCATTATTGTCGATGCCTATGTTGTGGTGTGTGTGGAGGCGTTTGTGCAGCTTTGCATGAGAAGCAGATAGCAGTTTTCAGACCACTTAATGACAGCTAAGATTCAAAAAGCGAACTAACCGAGCGAACAGCAAACCCTTCACAGCCGAAGACGGTCTCTCATCTCACACATCTCTGCAGCCAAACAGTGCTTCATGGATGTAGCTCTGAGGCCCGTTCCTCAGCAGGCAATGCTGATATCGGAGATGTAGAAACTGGTCTTTGGTTGTCGACGATGATAGCTTTGCAAGCGTTCGATGTGATGGACAAGCACAATCCCAACTCTTTTTCAGTGACCTGTTGAATCCTTTTGATGTATGACTCATGACCCTTATGCGACTGCTTTCTTTTGTTGCTTAAGTGACCTCTATTCAACTTCACTTTGAAGAAGCTGGCCAAGAAGTTGCCCTTTGGCACCAAGCCTTCATTGCCACGATTCTCTTTTGGATTCAGCACTTTCGATTTTTCGACTCGGCAGGTCACTGCAAGAGATAGAACATCTCCAAATTGGACGATCCAAGCAATTTGGGGTTAAATGACCCTCCTCAGCACCTCTTAGGGCCTCCATGGCCTTTTGCCCTTTCTCTCCGTCTTTCTCAACAGATTGAGAAAGTGCCAGATGTTCGATGTTGCTGAGGGGCCTTGTGCTTTGCCTCGTGACGCAGACACTTGGTCAACAAGCAAGTGCCTTGGCCATGAAACCGCGAGTCAATCAAACCATGACCCTTTTCAAGCCTGATGAGACTCTAGCATATAACAACCAAGAAGCGCAAGCCACGTGAACTTGGAAAATCACACAGAAAGAAACGGTTGTGAATTGTTTTCAGACTGAGTTGCTGCTTTCCTCCCCCCCAAAAAAAAAGAGCAAACGGAACTGCATGCAGCTTTCTCATGCTTTATCATGCTATATTTTTAGACTGGATGTGCATCCGAAGGAAAATCATGCCAAAGACCTCACCGTAGCCGCCGGAGCCCACACCGCCTGCAGGGCTTGGATTCTGCCCAGATGGCGAGTGTCGGGAGCGCCCGGATGTTGGGTGTAGACCCAGCGACGTCCCTGACCCATCTGACCCAGCGATGGGTGTATCTCCCCTTATCCGGCAAACATGACTCATTTTAGTATGGGAGGTCCTGAGGTGCTCAGGTTTTGCAATATAAGTCTGAGGGATTCTACTATTGATCAAGTGTTGGTAAACCACGCGGCAAGAATGGTGTTGTGCTTTGTTCTCTGCAGGATAAGGTTACTTATTGATTCTATCTTATTCTTGTCCGAGTGAGCGGCAACCGCCCAAGGGAAAGCAAAAACCCAGGGCTGCCGGACCGATGATGCCGGACCGTTCCCCTCTGTGAGCCCTTTGACGGCGGACCCAAACGCACAGGGCTGGGAGGGTGCAGTTGGCTCAACGAAGAAGGACCGCGGGAGACGAACACCTTCGGGTTCCGTTTCGGTCGCGGAAGCGGGTTAAGTGAAGCATCTGGGGTTCGATTCGGTGTCTAAAGGACCTCAGGATGTCACCTTTGGGTGAATGAACCTCCTTTGGGTCGTGTAGCGCACAAAGCCTTGATTTGTTTGGGGGGGCTGAAGAAAATGACCAAGAATGTGGATTGAACACCCAGCCGACTGGTCAAACTAGCGCCACAGAGGTATCAACTGTCGGTTCTGCGATGGAGATTGTGGCTTGGCTGTCGATGGGTTGGGGAAGAGATGTAGATGAATGGCACGTGCTAAAGGCTGGGGTTTTGTGTTAGAGGCATCTCGCATTGCAGACTGCGGCTGTGTCAAAACTTGGAGCCCTGGTCCACCATGTAGCTCACTCCCAGGTAAAGGTCAACCAAGGTATCCATGTAGCTCACTCTGCAGCCGAAGTCCGGAGTTTGGGCCTTGCACGAGTGATGATCAGTTCTCTTGAAATGGTTCAATTGTGGCGAGTCAAAACCTACCTACCCAAACACCCTCCAGTGGAGTCCAGTCAGTGAGGGTGTTTCCACATGTTTCCACCCTCGGTTGAGTCGACATCAACGATGGTGGCGGTGTGGCGGTGTACACTGCGGATTGCCAAACAAAAGCCCACATAGGTAAGGCCCACAGCAATTGATGAGAGTGACATGATTGGCCCAGGGCGAGGCTATGACCGCTCGTGGAACAGAGCCGATTTTGATCGCCCAAGGGACTCAATTCCGTTCGCAGACATCGATCCGTCAACACCAGGTGCTTTGTGACCCAGACTTCATTTCAGCCTCCAGTGGGTTTTGTCATCGGGCCTGCCAACATAAAACGCATCCGTTGGATGGAACTCCAGCTCGCTCAGCTTCGACGTTCGTTCGCTGAGGTTTTGCTTCCTGCAGATGCGAAACCGAGATGAACACCTGTTGTTGTACTGCTCCCCGGGGGCCCGAGCCTCATGAGCCGAGCCGTATGCGCGAGCATGGCGAGCTGCCCGTTCGCTTGCGGCGGAGCCCAAGAGGTGGTTGAATAGACCATTTGGGAAAGTCCTTCACTCGCGAATAGAACCAGATTCCGGGTGTATCGTCATTTTGACATATTTTGACTACTACTTTGTACTAGCCGTCATCATGGGGCAAAGAGAGGAAATGGATGGAAATGGGATATAAGTTGACATAAGCGTAGACTTATATAGATAAATGATGATAAATGACCAAAGGTATTTCGCCGATTCGGCTCGAGGCACTACGCCCGCGGCTATGAGAAGGTTCCGTGTGCGGGGCCTGACCGGACGTTGAGCTTGCCGTCCCACTGGATCCAGGTGGGGCAGCCCATGTGGGCTGCCCCAAGTGGAGTGTATAATGTGTAATGACATCTCTTTCTATGTGGGCCTGCATTCAACAAATATAAAACAGTCAACATGACAGTAACCCTCAGGCCCTTTCCCAGGATATGAGGTTCTATTTGCAGTCCCTGGAAGCATCATGAAAGCGGAGTGAACACCGACACCACCTGTTTGATCCTCCTTGTAGAAAAGAAACGTCTTCCAGGGGCCTTTGCTATCCACGTAACCATGATACTGTACATGAAATATTGATGGTCTTGAAGAGTTGGATCACTCCAAACCGACCAGATGGTAAGTCAACCACCATCACCCTTGATAGACTTTGGAGTTTGGATCTCCTGTGGCCCCTCAGGTCCAGGTGGGACCTATCAAGACCAGACCGGCCAGAACAGCTGCAAGCCGTGCGGGCGCTTGGTGTTTCGTCAGATCTTTCTTGACGACGTTGGGAGGCTTTCTTGGAACATGTTGATTTCAGGTCAGTCAGAAATAAGGGAAGAGAATGGTTAGGTCGATGTGGACATGAGGTTGAAGATGTGACGCGGGTCCCGTGGGCCCAAAGCAAGAAACCCGGATCCTGTGGGCTGCAGAAACATTTGCATCTCTAATCTGAGTTTGCAGTATGTGTTTTTTGTTAAACAATCATTGGAAAGAGCCTGTGTTCTAAATTTAAAAAAGTCAAAAAAAAAACGTCAATTTGCATTTGTTTGACTTTTTTGATGTGTTTTCGACTTTTTTTTGACTTTCGTTCGACTTTGTTTTGCATATGTTTTGACTTGTGTTTGACTTTTTCGAGTTGTTTTTTTGAGTTTGACTTTTTATGACTTTTGTTTTGACTTTTTTGGACTTTTCGAGCTGTGGTCTATGGTTGACTTTTTTTTAAACGTTAATTTGATTTTTTTTTGACTTTGACTTTTCCAGTTGACCTTTTTTTGACGTCATTTTGACTTTTTTTTAAATCAAGGATTCTGGCCTTACCATATGAAAGTTTTTTTTAACAGTATTTGCTCTTGCTCCTCGGCCGTGGTGCTAATGGTGCTGCCCACATCACTTGCATTTGTTGCCGCCTGTCATGTGCGGGAGCAATGCGCAGGCAAGAATAATTTCTGCAAATTCAGAGACGTGAGCCAGTCCGATTTGCAGCTAAAGAGAACACGTCATATAGGTAAGTAGATGTGACGTTGAGTAGTTGATGTTGGAAGTTTTGACATGTGTTTTAGCATTCCTAATTCTCAACAAGCTACACTCCCTGCCATCACCCAGTAAATATAGAGGCCTCTCATCCAGGTTTGATCAGTGGCCGCTTGTTTGTCTTGGAGTTGCACACATGGCCCTCATTGTTATGCTCCCTCTATCCTTCATGACAATAGCTTCAACAGCTTTCCTTGTTTTGTCCAACACTGCAGAACTCCATCAATCTAGCAAGCCACATTGAGTCAATTGAGCTTGCGCAGTGTTCTGGATTCTGGCTGTTGTATGCTGTTGTCATGCGGGGATGGGTCGTGACCCACCATGTTAGCCCGACCAGTCCGCCATGCTGCATGACCTCCCAGGTAGGTCAACCGGTTCTGGTCTCCAACCTACTAGCGATGGCCTCCAACCTAAGAGCCTGTGGCTGTAGGTGCAGCTTGGACAGCAGCGTCCTCTTTGACGTGAACCAACGAGGTGCGGACGAGAAAGCGCGGAGACGCCATCCTTCAACCCGTCCATCCTTCAACGAGTGACCTGGAGCTGTAAGATGACTGGGTTGCGGAAATATATTTACATAAATAATGCCTAGCCTATACATTAATATCTATAATGTGTCCTTTGGCTACAGAGACCCTAAAGTATATATAGAGAAGGAATGAGGAGTACAGTATAGTATAGATCTCCTTTGAATCATGTGTTGGATGCCGATGTTTCTCTCTTTGTACGCCGTACGCCTCATCACGATGAAAGCAAGTGCCTCTCCCACTGTAGAGCTTGTTCAAAGCTTCCAGCAGATGATCATGCAAAGCTCAAAGTCGTAAATCGGTCAATCCTCAGGGGCCATGGACGAGCAGTAAACCAATCCCAAACACTCCATGCATGGAGGCCTACTTTTCAAGGTTCGGACCATTTTATGGACGATGGCCATATTTTGCATATGTTTGCATGGCCCAAAAGGTGTTTGATGTGACTGCCCAAAATGCTTCATAAACCCTTCTTTGACCAGGGGTTTGTGTCTAACCCTGAGCGGTTTGGTGGTCGAACCAATGATTTTGAGGTCGCCCATCGGTCGGTTTGCAGTTGAGATCGGTCGGTACCTGGAATTTTCACTTCGTCTTCAAGGTATATAGTGGGAACCTCCAAGCCTTTGCCGTTCCCATTGCCTTAGAAAGGTGGGCACCAGCGGCACCAGGTCGTTTCTCAGGTCCCCATAGGTCATAGGTCACCTTATAAGGTCATATTGTGATATTTGCATGCAACTAGTGGTGGATCTCTACCCAATACATCGGGAGAGCCAGCTCAGTCTGGGCACATATGGGCCCTGACCACAGTAGGGAGCTTGAGGGCAATCTGGGCCCATGGGGACCTGAAAAGTATAGGGAGCGCCAGCTTGGCTTGGGCACACGCGGACCTGAACACTAATTATATCAATCGCCCCAGCACCCTTTTCTTCATGGGTTGGTGAGGGTCAACGTCGATGAAGATTCTATGAAGTTCGGCACTCGGACAGTCAGGCCAGACGACTGGTCATTTAGGCTATTTGGGCTTTTGCGGAAGGGGCCTGAAAAGAGCTAGTTGGCCATTGAGAAAGTGCATCGGGGATTTCCTGGAGATGGATGGTCAACAACCCACAATAACATCTGAGAAGTCATTTGCACATCTTGCGACGGATCTCCAGGAGCCGTTGACTTGGTTGGCTGTGAGGAGGTCACGGTTGGGACGATGGTGTCAACATGAAACCGTGGAAACGGTGTGGCAGAACATGGTGGTCATGGCAACATTTGATGGGGACCACTGACATGGTGACACATACCACCATGATTTTGATGGCACAACGATTGGCATGGTGGTCATGGCAGCACATGGCAGAAAAAGGACGGGAATGTGTTGATTCCTTTCCCTTCGTTTGGATTGTTTCGACCTTCAAAGTCTCAGTTGGACGTGGCTGGAACGTCATTGCGTTGCTGAACGCCTGAACTTTGGGTGACTGTGGCACAAGTGTCTATCTCCAAATATGGTCACACTTTGTTCATACAAATAATGCTGCTTGTGTGGAAACCAAGTAGAGGTATGAGTCATGAAAACACATCGGAAACCGAAAACGTACGAACACCAGTTGAATCCTTACCAGTTACTTGTACTTACTTGTACCCTGCGGGTTTAACAGGTCAACAAGATACACAACAACTAAACCATACCGTTTGACAGGCTTTTTGACTGCAACAAAAATAAGATCCAGTGGGGTAGTTGAAAAAGGAACCCATCCACCAGAGTGGATAGGCATGACAGTTTCAAAAACAACGGTTTTGCGTGTGTAACAGCAGTGGCACCCTGCTTGGGACAATGGACAGACCCAGGACCCAGGACACCGAGTTGAATGTTGTCTCCTACAGGAGGGTGTGTCTCCAAACACAACCACTTGCAATGGTTGTCCTCAGCGAACCTTGCCGACTTTCTACGTCTTCCTTTCCTACCTTCATGGAAGTATCGCATCCACCGACCGGGTCGAAATCGATCGAACGGTGGGGTCCGTGGAACCCGATTCCCAACGCTTGACGGGATCCACTCATTTGCGAGCTTCATGGGTCTGAGTCTGAACTTACAGCAACAACATGTGTGGGTCCGAGTTGTATCGAATTGTGCTGTTTTGTGCCGAAGCGGCGTTTAGGCACCCTTATTTGGGATACACCAACCCCAACTCTTGGCCGCCCGTTCCACCTCCTTTGACATGGATTTGTTTATTTTGCTAGTTTGGTCATATAATATTATATATACTGTAATAGAAAGAGAGATCTGTATCATCATGGCCTACCACACATTCATCTCAGTGGATGTTGGTCCCTAAAATCCTAAAAGTAAAGATAAACAAGTCCTTTGGATATCCAGTCCCAGAGGCTCAGCGGGTGGGTAGTACTGTTTTTTGAGCCCCCCCCTGCTGAAGGCCAGGTTGAGATGCTCGTCCAGCTGTAGCAACAGCACCACTTGCGAGGCCGTTCTAAACAGTTCTGGGTAAGAGCTTCGAAGGGGATGTCCCTCGGCAAAAACCAAACACAGACTCTCACAGACCCGAAAAGGGGGGGCATCAGCGATATTTTGGGGGTGTCCTTTTTCCTATTTGGCTTTGAAGGGGCGCAGGTGGATCACCTGGAAGGGACGCTTCTGAAGGACCTCAATGCTGAGATATGCTGAGTCCATTCGGTGGACGTGGCGTTCGTTCCAGTCCGAAGTTCCAGTCGCTTGTGTATGCATGGTTTTTTGTGTACACAATGTTCGCTACTAGGAACAAGTGCATCGCTTCTAGTAACAAGTGCCTTACTAGTAGTAACAATGGTTGCTATTAGTTAATTTAATTCTAAGAGCTTTTTGTTACAGTATATTATTCCTTGGAACTAACGGAAGTGGAGTGGAGTTCACCCCCCTGTTTGTAGAGGAAAAAGGGATAACACGGGTTTTTCCTTTCGGAGCCAGGCCATCCGCTTCCATGTTAGTTCCCAGGTGGTCACCTCTACTTCTTGTGGCTTGTGAGATCTTGTGAGTCCTAGTGAGTCCATCCACTGGAGAGGTTATCCATGGTTGTCCTAAAGATTCTCAACGTCAATTCGTAAAGAACTTACTTCACTTGGCTCGTGAGGTACGGGTGTCTAAGGCAAAGAAAGTGGTAAAGAACCTTGGCAATCTCTCCCATTGGTTCCTGATTAGCGCAATCGGGCTGCTCGGTGTGAATCTAATCCTTCCGCTTTTTTTGATGGGCTAGGCTAGGCTCTAGGCAGCCTTGCAGAGTGATTCCACTGTGGCCCAGGAGGTTGGTTTTGCTACAAATATGTTGTATTTGCATGATCATTGGACGACGTTTTTTGTTGTTCCTCTTTAAAGTCTATTTATATATTATACATTTATTTATATATTTTTCTGAGCTGCTTATGTGCATTTTTGCGTCAGCTAGTTTGCATGAGCTTGCGGGTAGACTCGGTTGCATGGAGGTAAAAGCAAGAGACACCTCATCACCTGATGGTGACCACGGTCTGAGCAAAACGATAGTGACCACGATAGGGAGACGTATACGGCGGAGCACACCGCAGGTCACCTGCGTGTCTTCCATCACTGCCTGGGGGCTCGGTCTGATGTGTTTTTTTGTTGTTTCGCCTGGTCCCAACATGGTTGAGATGGGATGTGTGGGCAGTTTTGGTCTTCTCACTGAAGTCTCCCTATGACCCAGCTCTTGGCAATGGGTCAGTTGAACTTGGGCTTACTACTTGAGGTCCCATCAGAGTGGAACGGTCCCTGTAGTGGGAACCACTAAGACGTATCTTACAATGCCCAGTAATTAGCTAGCAACACATACCTTTTTTTGTGGTCTTCAATTCACTGACATGTGTATTAAAAACGTCCCCGCATCCAGACCACCTCAAAAAGGGCACCAAGACAACTTCGAATGACATGCGAGGTCATTGTGTCCTCCAAAGCCCGCAACAGTGTGTTATGTTTGATTCGATGTCAAAAAAGGGAAGACACCGACTGTATATAGCTTGTCAACATTGCATAATCATTTAGTATTTGCATACCGAACAAGCAACGGATCCACGTGAGGGAAACGCAATGAGTTTGTGGGGTCTTGGGTTGACTTGCGGCTATCCAGTCCAGTCCACCGATGTCAGATACCTCGCGATCAAAAACAGACGCGACCTCGATCGACCACGTCAGGTGGAGACCAAGATGACGTCCAACCCGGAGGATGACGAGTTCTGCGCCCGGACGCCCCAGCGGGCGGGCGGATGCGGTGGGAGCTTAGGTGTCAGGGGAGTCGGGGGGGAAAGGCGAAACTGGGAGATGAAATGAGATGAACCCCGAAGGCGGGAGGAGGTTAAGAAGAAACATGAAGAAACGACCAATGCAGGATGTATCCAACAAAAACTGGGACCAGTGGGGCGGTGAATGAAGAGTATTTCGGCAACGGACCTTTTGGGTGGATGAAGAGTGTTGTTCTGCACATCAGGAGTTTCTTCCAGTGCTGGACGTGCGCCTACTCACTACCTTGGACCCGTGGAAAATGACAGATCAAACCATTTGGGAGATCGACGTCCAAACCTCATGAACTTGTAGGGAACTTGACGTCCTCACCCGTCCTCACCTCCTGCCTCAGGTCAAACAAACCTCAAGGGATTTGTTCGATTCGGAGCGCCCTCAGGGGACCCTGAAATGATCATGGCTTCCGGGGGGCCATTGGTTCCGGGCGAGGAAAGGCTTGCGTTCCTTTGCTTATGGGAAGTGGAGGGCCTGGCTTTGGTGGTTTTTTGTTCCATCCTCCCAAGTGCAAGGCAAGCTTGGAACTTTGTGACGTTTGTGATGTGTGGAGGATTGGTAATTACTGTCATTTTGTGTTGGTGAGAATTGTGAGATATTGTGAGTATATAAAGGGAAGATCAACCAATCAGATCAGGGTTTTTGTTTTGGCTGGGTCCGCGCTTCCAAGGGTCCTAGGATTCTAGTTGTTCTTTTGCAGAGCTGGAAGTCCTAGGGAATCTACTAGGAAAACCCTCTCAGTAAAAGCCTGTCAGAACTGCCTATATTCATTTGTCCACCTGCGCCAGGGCAGCTTGAACATTAGCTCTCGAGGCGAGGTTGTCAGCGAACGTGACTCTCATTGGAAGGGTGGAAATGATTGGAGATGTGTAGTGTAGCGAGTTGCTGTGTTTTTTTGCCTGTGCCTATGTAACACCACCTTGAAGAAGGGAAATGTATATGGAAAGGTTATGCTCCATGTCCATCTTTGATTCTCGGGACTGGTTTTGGATGAACATGGATTGAGCTTACCTTTCTGGAAAAGAGCTGATCCAGGTGCCTGGACCTTTCGTTGACTTCCACTGACGGTATGGGTAGAACTAGCGACAGGATGGAGAACACCACGACGTTGGGATGGGAGTTTGCGCTTGACATACGGCAATCCAGGGACTGTTGTCGTGGGAATGTCGTTGGGATAGCGCAAGAAGTGTCGTTTGCGCAAGGAAAAATAGAAGAAGTTGGGTGGAATTGAAATGAATTGTCTTGTCCTGCCTCATAGTGTGAAAGATGATTGATAGACACTCCATGGGACAGGAACGTATCACCTACATCGACCCTGTTTCAACATGTTCAACCACCATTGATCGGCCGTTTGAGAAACGGTCAGTCGGTCCAAGAGAGGTCATGTTTGGATCCATGAAAGAATTACTCAATCGCAATGCCTAACTTGGAAGGCCACCTAAGATGACACCTGACCGGGTATCTACCCAATTTCCAAGGGGGGGATTGGATAGATGTGTTTAGTGCCTTTGGACGCACCGCGTCCCTTCTTTGGGGGGCAAGACTGCTTGGTGACATGGTGCCATTGCTCAACACCCGGAGCCCCAAAGCCTAGTAGGTTGACATAGCCCGGTAGGTAGACATCGTTTGCAAGTTGGAAAAAAAAAAACGTGTTCATGAACGACCCGGTCATGGCACATGGTGCCCAGGTGCCATGACCGCCATATCTTGGACCCGCATTTGTCAGCACAAGTAGTTGGGCAGCGCATGTTTTTTGTTTCGCGAGGCTCCCCAAGTTGTGCTATTCTTGATGTCCAAATGTCGTACTCTTGGACCATTGGACCCTTGAACGCTGTTGAAAAAGCCTTGTTGGGTACAAGGGGTTTGCTAGTTACTAAGCCACTGAATCTTCAAGCCCTTAGCAGTGATTCAGCAGGACAAACAAGTCTTTGACGGTATCTTCTTGTGTGTTCTTCTCTTTCAGTCGTCACGGGACCAATCAGCTGAGCTGCCGCAGCCAGGCTGCTCTTGGCGCACCGAGCTCAATTCGGCTCCTGCCTGGCACACCAACGACACTTGTTCGCACAGATCCCTTCGCCTTTGCCTCGGGCGGTGGGGCGGAAGACCCGAAAAAGCAGCGACCTGGGAGCATGTCGAGAACGGCGGTCAGATCCGAAAAGGATGAAAATGGGGGGTTTGCATTTTGACTATGCTTTTAGTTGAAAAAAGTATGAAACAATCAATTGTTGCTTTTAGTTGAGCTCTTGGCTGGAGCTAAGCTATTTCGCCCCACCCTGAGAGTTGTAAATGTTTTGTAATACCACTACTGGTTGCCGGGATCGCTGCGCTCCAGCTGCAGAGGAGCGCTCGAGCGGTTCCTCTCCATGAGTTCGATCACACTTGTTCCAACCGTCACTGGAATGTCGGGGGTGGGAACAAGAAGGTCATGCAATGGAAGGGTTCCTGTGGAAAAAAAGGAAACATGAAAACACCGGAAAACACCATATGCCATATAGATTCGTTCTACTTATACTTGCTTCTGCTTCTGCTTTTGGTGTGGCTAGTACCACCACCTCAGCAGATACTGAGCTGGTGGTATAACCGGGTATATCCGGGTATATAATTGCAACCCACTGCAAGCTCCTGCATTCAGTCAGTTGATTCCAGGGACCATCGCCCGAATTGCCACAGCAGCTATGCATTTGAACCACAGATTGGGACCCAAGAAATTGCACATTTCCACTTGAACAATAATTATATGGAATTGCCAGACAATCAATCTGTGCCTCAATGATTTTCCTGCCATGATCAGCGATCGGTCATGCGCAGATTCACCAAGGCCTTCTTAGTGCTTGTGGCCTCATTCATTGTGAGGGGTTGAGCCTGCGAAACGGTATGGCGAAACCAGTAATTACTGCATGAAACCGGAGACTGGCCGGCCACAGATGGTTGGGTCGGGTGGGGGAGTTCACAGATGGGCTGGAGAAAAATCCGACTGGCCACTCTCCGTCCTTTTTTTTCCCAATATGCCAGCTTGCCTGCGATATGCATGCAGCAATTTGTGGCTGAATTTGGTATGTTTGCCAAGCATCGAAGCCATGTAGCGCTTAAGGGGTCGACTATCGAGACCTCCCTCCTTTTGAGATGCCGCAGCGGCAGCCCCGCGTGTCTTCGTCAGATGAAGGGGGTTGATGACTTCAGGGCGATATCTCGATGGAGAGAAGTCTGTAGAGGCCCGTGTGGATCGTCCGACCGACTATCTGTTGGGGGGGTTCTCCCGTTCTCCATGTCCGACCGAAGTAGAGTCCTTTTGTGGGCCGTGATCAGGGTCGATTCTCAGGGTTCGGTGCCTGACTCATGGCGCAGCGATGAAACACTTCTTGAAAGGTATTTAAAGCGTTTGAGATCAGGCGCCATGAAAACTCCTGGTCTATAGTTCTACGAGTAAGTATTCCAGATTTCGACAGCTGATAAGTTGTAAACGTTTCAAGCACGGTCACAAGTCATAGAACGACGTGGAATTTGTCCGCCAGGGGCAGCAGCAGGAAACCCTTCGTCGTTTTGCAAGTCTATAGTTCTGAGTTCCGCAGGACTCAGCCGTTCAGTAAACTGAGATTGTGTATGATTGAGTATAAATTATGATTGTATATATATATATATATATTGTATATTGTATAATCTAAAAGTTAATCGGGGAGTTGTTTCATCCTGACATTAGAAGACGACTGTCTCAACGATGGCCTTCTGTATTTCTGACATCCACTGGGACCTCCCTTAAGAGACGTTTCACCCCAACGCCGCGGCCGAAAGAGAGCGCGCTCCCAAAACCCTGCGGCCGGAGGCAAGGTCTCCCACGGCTGGGGAGGTGCACATGCTCAGGCTCAAGAATTTGAGTGTTTGCCGGGGTCTATCATTTAAAGGTGTTCACTTATACCTCTCCAGTTTTTCAACTTCGTTCTGTCAAAGGCTCTTTTGATGGTCCAGAGTCAGGATATGCAGATGCACATAAACTCATTGGCCTCGTCTAGATGTGTTTTTTTGCCCTGGGCCCTCGCGTGCAACAGTGACCTGAGCAGGACTTGAAGAAGTGTCCTGAAAATGTGTCATCCTATTTCATCGCAAGGTGGATGGGTTGAACTGAAATTGTGCGGATCCTTCATGTTGATCCTTTCGTTCTGAGAACCCTTGGCGCTATCGCTATCAACGCTCCATCTCACTTGGCGCAGAGTTTCATGGTGCTGGTCCGATGGCTTTCGATCGAAGGTCCCGGATTCCCTGTGAAGGAATGAAGGGAGAGAACGAGGATTGAAGAAAGGAAGGAACGAGACAAGGAAGGAAGCGAGTGCGGGTGACATCAGCATCTCAAAGAGTTAATGCAAATGATTTTTGGCTTTCAGCCTGGGGTTTTGATGCGTTGGATGCCCTGATTTGGTGCAGCGAATGTGGCGTTGGGATGAGTTGGGTAGATTGGGGATATGATATAGTTGACGATTCATGATGGACCCAAACACACGGTCTTTAAGAGCCTGTTATGAGTAATAGTTGCTTGCGAACCAGTTGATCCACCAAACAATTGTAGGAGCTTGCTTCCTTCCAAGGGTTCCCAAACTGTTGATTGTTGTTTGTGCCGTTCTCTTGCTGCTTTGCATGTAGCCATTTACAATTTAATGCAAGAAGAAACCAAAGTAATTTTAATCATTTACCCAAATTTAGTCGGTCAGCACAACCTGGAAGTCAGATCGTCAAATCCGATTTCTCGTCATGTCTTGGACATACTCAATCGATTGAACATAAAAAGGAGAGGGGAACTTTTAAGAGGTGATTGTAACTGTCAATCATGCTGCTCAGGGTCAAGCAGCCCCATCATTGAAGGATGTCCTACGATGAAAGTCTGACCGGAGGAACTCCTAGATAGTTTGATTCATAAAGCAGGTCCTATACGAAACAGCTCCAAATCATCAACCACTGCAGATGTTCTTCACAGCTTCCGGGTGCAGCATCCTTGAATGCAATGGGTGACGAAGGTGATGCGCAATGCGCGCAGCGCGCCATGCGCGCCATGCGTTGGGGTGGTATTCGAGGGTTGAAGGATGTTGTGGACCCAGGGCCCAGACCCACTTGTTTTCTTGGGAGGTGTGCAGGTCTCTTTCTACATTTGGGCTGCAAGACATTGGCTGCACGGCTACGCGACCCCGAATCACCAACGCACCAGCTCCGGCGCTCCAATGGTGAATCCCGACACTTTTCCTTTCAATCCGACAGCGCCCAGGGGCCCAGGATTTGTTTGTTCGCTCTTAAAGGAATACTCTGGGACTCTGCGCCTGGAGATTCTTTCCCAATGCGTGGACCTGGCACTGCTTCTGGCACTGCTGAGATGTCCAACGGTCCAAAAGGACATTATGTTTTAGTCCTTCGCATGCACAATTTCATGCGAACCAAGATGATTCAGATAAGAAGTCGCCAAGTCTCAAGTCAACAGCATTGCATGGCACCCTCCCGTCTCAAGCCCCCAAGTTAGGCACACTTCCACGAGGCTTCTTCCTATAGACCGGTCCTTTGCACCTTTTTTTCATCTCTTCCCCCTCGGACTCGCCGCGTTCGCCGCAGCCCGGCCGCTCTACGCCGTGCTGGGCGTGGCGCCGGACGCCACGGCGGCAGAGATCAAACAGGCGCGGCGCGCGGCGTTCCCTGCCGGCGCCGGTCGGACAAGGTCGGAGCGTACTTGGGAGCAGGAGCCGATACTGAGGGCGAATGACGTTCATTTTGTCCCAATCGTTTCACAGGTCCTATCTCACTTTCCTTCGATATGAATTCTTTGGAAATCCATGGGATGGTTGGGTCTTTAAGACGGTCTTCAGTCTTCATGATATGGTGATAGGTCGTGACCCACCATGATCGCCCGACCAGTCCACATATGTATGGAAGGACCGACACCAAGGTGGGTCAACGGTCTCCTGGTGCCATGACCCACAGCCTTCGACACCAAGCACTTTGGGCCTCCGTTATCAAGCTTGGTTCGAGATCCCACCGGGAGCTTCGAAAACCACAGCCCCAGCCGGCCGGCCCATAACTACAAATGCCATCACATAACATCACATACCGCTACTACGATTACTACTGCTGATGCTGCTGCTACTACTACTACTACTTCTACTACTGTAACCCTCTTCTAACATCTTCAAACTACTTCTGCTGTTTGTGCTAGACTGGCATATTTACATACATTGGAGTGGCTGAGTCGGGGTTAATGTAGGCATATATGCGATGATTCCAGTCCCATGAGTCACTATGAGAGTGTTTGGACATTACTCCTGGGCCAAAACATCACCTCCCGTTCGCTTGATGGAGGCTTACAGGCATTTGGCGCTGCAGCACCATCCTGACAAATGCAGCAGGGCCCAGAGGATCCCAGAGGTCCAAATGGTGCTCACGAACCGGTGATGGATTGCAAACTGCGGGAATTCTATCATCACATGTGGCCTAGACGTAAGGTGGTCCACATTCCAAAAAGCAACTATTTCAGATGCTTCTGCTGAGTTGACCACCATGCACCACTGAATAAGTAGTTCCAAAGTTGGGTGCGAACTGAAAGTAAATTTGATGATTGCCTCATTTGCCAGCCTTTTGCTTGTTGAGAGATGATCCCTAAATTCCAAATCCGAAATCACCTTCCTATAGAAAATATGGTCATTCCATATGTTTGTTTGTTTTTGCCGATAGTTTCGGTGTATTTGCAACCACCCGCAGCAGATGCTGAGGTCAGGGCTCAGAGCAAGAGAAGGCGTGTTGGTCGTGGTGGTCGGAGGCGGTTTGAGTGTGAGGCACCAATATGGAAATTGCACAACCCACCCTTACCTATCATAGTACCTATTGAATGTGCATTTGCGGTACAATGTTTGGTCTCTCATCGGGAAGACAGTCCAATTCTTCCCAAATCCGCATCGACGGTGCCTGTCAAAACCAAACTCTCCAGACACCGCAAGTGACATGGCCCACATGCAAATGCGGCCATGAAATGCCATGAATATTGCCCTGTCTGTGAGGCTATGATTGTGAGAGACGAAAGGCAGGACCTTCCTTGATTTGTCCACAACAGACACCTGAGACGAACACAGCCATGTCTACCAAACGTGTGGCCCCTAGTAGCGTCCTTGCTCCTGTATGCTCCTGTGGCCCCTAGTAGCGTCCTTTGCTCCTGTATGCTCCTGTGGCCCCTAGTAGCGTCCTTGCTCCCAGTAGCGAGGCCCTTTGCTCCTAGTAGTTTCTTGTTCCTAGTAGCGATGCCAGGAGCCCCTAGTAGCGTCCTTGCTCCTAGTAGTAAGGCCAGGAGCCCCTAGTAGTTTCTTGTTCCTAGTAGCGATGCCAGGAGCGCCTAGTAGCGTCCTTGCTCCTAGT